CAGATTCCTATTTGTGGTGACATCCCCGCCAGTATCTGGTCGTGCTGTCACCTCATGTGGAGACCATGAACAGCGGGACACTGGGTCCTCAGGTTAGATAGATATAATCATTGTCTCCCACTCACAGCTCCCGTAATATGACGTTTACCCCTACGACAGGTTTCAACACACACCGTAACCATTATCTACAATTCATACACTTACACTGCTTAAGGTGACCTTGCTATATATCGTAGGTCTAGAAAAAATCCTTAAATTACACACTTTTGAATGCATACAGATTAAAACAAAGAACATCCAGTTCAGAAGCACATGAATTCACACTTTTTCAAACATTCGATTCATCAATATGTAGATACTAAACTTCCAATCGTCACCAAACGGAAACACTCCTTTACAAAAATCTGTTGAATCATCACTGTCGGGAAATATGGAAGGAAATCAAACTTTTTCAATATTATCTGAGACTGTCTTAATTTGAAATTATTCAAAACATGCAAATGATCTTATCATTATCAACATATGTTTAAATAAATTTAAGATTATTCAAAAATTCAGAAAAAGAGTCTTTTCCAAAATACCCATATTCCCATGTACCTGTGGACAACAATGAGCTTCTGTATATACCATACGAATACATCCAACAACCTGCGTACAATTACATGTATTCAATACATTTTGCTTGTTAGAGATTTATTCAAGTTCCAATACATCTAAAGTTAACTGCACACGATTTTAAATCCTGCGAAAAGGACATGTAGGAATGACAAATGCACGCAATGAACGTCTGATCCCGTCATTTCGGTAACATGCACGCCTTGTCCCTGGCATGACCTTGAGATCCGAACTTGAAAACTCAACACCAAACCCTGCGCTCTGCTGGAAACCTAAGAAGACTACCCCCAACAGTCGGGTTTGATTTATATAGCATCTGATTATGGAGAACAGAACTGTCTTTTTTCTCCGATATCATTCCTGACATTGATGAATTTGTTCGTCTGGTGGTTTTCAATTGACTTTTGACGACCATACAACTTTAGAACACAGAAATATTTTGCACTTTTCACATAGTGCATTTTTTTCAAAAATATAAATACTTTCAACCGAGTTTTTGTGGTCATTAATTTGTACAGGTTTTGTCAGTTACCTAGGTACGCAGCAAAACAGTTTTTGTTTGTTTATTGTTAAGTGCAATTACAACTAATGTGAAGCATTTAAAGTTTATTTTTTTATATTCAAATATTATACTAAGCTACATGGTATTTTAATATAATCCTTGATTTATCAAGTTCAAATGCAAAAAACATGCATTTATCTTTTTCATACCCCGGTAGTTTTATTTAAATTTCAAAAACATTTCTGTAATTCTTGAAAATAACTAAATAACTGTTGTTTTATAAAAAAAAATGTTCTACAAGAAAATTTCACAACACAGTGCACCCTTTTCCTTCATGCTTTAAAGCTTCCCTTCTATATAATTTCTCCTGATGTAATCATGTATTCCGACTCTTCTTCATCCTCACTCATTCTTTAAATCCTCTTCTCTCTCTCTTCAGTGAGCTCTCCTAAACTCTATTATCACAAAAACAGTTGGCCTGGATGGTAGTGCACAGGGGGTCCTAGGGTCCTATAATTAGTGNGTATATCTTAAAATAAAATAACCTTTATTTATTTTACTGCAAAACAAGTTCTATGAACTGTAATTAATCACTCTTGTTGGCCTGGATGGTAGTGCACAGGGGGTCCTAGGGTCCTATAATTAGTGTGAGAGGAAACTGGAATACTGGAGAAAACCCAATAGGTTGGGAAGGTGCCCAGTACTATATCATCAGTGGTTCTGAACCCAGTACTATATCATCAGTGGTTCTGAACTCAGTACTTTATTTATCATCAGTGGTTGTGAACCCTGTACTATATCTTCAGTGGTTCCGAACCCAGTACTATATCATCAGTGGTTCTGAACCCAGTACTATATCATCAGTGGTTCTGAACTCAGTACTATATCTTCAGTGGTTCTGAACTCAGTACTATATCATCAATGGTTCTGAACCCAGTACTATATCTTCAGTGGTTCTGAACCCAGTACTATATCATCAGTGGTTCTGAACCCAGTACTATATCATCAGTGGTTCTGAACCCAGTACTTTATCATCAGTGGTTCTGAACCCAGTACTATATCTTCAGTGGTTCTGAACTATCTATCAAACACCCCTTCTCTTCCTCCTTGCTCACTGTTTAAATCTACCCTGCTGTCTCTTCAGTAATTTTTCCAGGACTTTTCATTACACATAATCCACCTAATATCTTCTTCCTCTTTCACCCTTTGAAGTACCCTTATTTTCTTCAGCGAGTTCTCCTGAGTTCTCCATCATCATATGGTGCTCTATCTTCTACAACCTTCGACTCTTGGTTACATTTTAAAAGTACCCTGCTGTCTCCTCAGTGATTTTTCCAGAACTTCTTCTCATCATCACATATAGTCAACCTCATCTCTTCTTTCTACTTGCCTCTCTAACCCTTTGAAGTACCCTGTTTTCTCTTCAGAGATTTCTCCTGAATCCTCCATGCCCTTTAGAACTACTCTACTATCGCCCCAGTGAGTTCTTCTAAACTGTCTCCCATCATACAGCCCCTTCTTCTCTTCCTCCTCCTCTCTTACCGTTGAACCTTTCTCCTCTCAAACACTTTACATCTCCATTGCTATCTCTTCAGTGATTTATCCTGAACTCTCTATCATCATATAGCTCCTACGCCCCGCCCCTCTCACTATTGAAAACTACTCTACTCGATCTTCGGTTTTTCAGTTTTTACAAACTATCTATCATCATATAGCCCCTTCTTCTCTTCCTCCTCCTCTCTTACTGTTGAAAACTACCCTACAATCTCTTCGGTGATAACCCTTGACCTCTCCATCATCATATAGCTCCTACGCCCCGCCCCTCTCACTATTGAAAACTACTCTACTCTATCTTCGGTTTTTCAGTTTTTACAAACTATCTACCATCATACAGCCCCTTTTCCTCTTCCTCATCCTCTCTAACCATTTAAACTACCCTACTATATCTACGGTGATAACCCTTGACCTCTCTATCATCATATAGCCCCTGTTTCTCTTCCTCCTCCTCTCAACCCGTTTAAAACTACCCTATAATCTCTTCGGTGATAACCCTTGACCTCTCTATCATTACGGTGTTGTTACAGACACCTACCCCTATAATTAGTCCACCGCCGGTCACCTGCTGGCTAAACAAGAACAGTCAATCGTGTGAGGTCCAATCAGAAAAAAGTAGTCACTGTAACCACCTCGGAGATAATCTTCGGACACAATAAATCTCTTTATAGCTGTAACCACGGAGCTTAGTGTCTAGATGTATCATTAAGGACAAAGTATGCTCATCACAATGTGAAATGCGTACATGTATATACAGGCAAGGTTGACAATTTTTATGTACAAAACATTCATATTAATCACAGATTTTTAAGAGATCTGAACTTGATTTAGAAGGATCAAGGTTCAGTTGCGATTAGGGAAGTACATGTATTTGATGGAAAAAAAAAAAGAAGGAAATTGTGAATATTACGAATATGTATATAGAACTGTTCGCCTGTATATTTAAAGGAACAGCAGAGAAATATGTAGGTTTGATATATTTTTTTACCAGAGAAATACAGAGAATTATCAAGATGATGAAAATGATATTTCAACTGCAGTGACAATATCAGGTTGATAGCAATTTTTAAGGTACAAAGTCACAACACTTTTCTGTCACTCGATCGTCTACCGAAAGTATGAAAGGCCATAATTGCAGACGTAAAACCATCAAAATCTAAATTAAACCACTTTTCTACTACAGACAGACATTGTAAAAGTTACCTTTCCTGTGAAATAGTTTTGCTTCCCAATATTCATACAAAGACAATTTATAGGTTGCAGGCATTTTTTATCTTCAAATTTTAGCAAAATAAAATAGGACAAGAACATTTGTCAGAAACTTATATAACACCAAATTAAATTGAAGCTAATTCGATCACACGAGACAAGATCATTCAAGAGATTATATTTTTTCAATTGAAAACTGAAATGTTTTCAAGACTTTATAAATGAAAACAGAATACTTAGACATAATTTTTGGGTTAAAAAAATAATTGTTTGAGGTTTCACTAAGAACTGTTTAATTAAAAGAGCTGTGCAAGTCTGTATTTACCAACCATGGTGGTGGACAGATGAAATGTACTTTTCAGAGATCTTAAGTAAATATTGTTGTCTAGGAATCGCTTTTTATCTTATTGACAGTTGTGTCTTTCATTAAAAATAACTGCAAGCAATAAAAGTCATTAATATTGCTATAGCTCACATAACTGTGATCCTGTTTCCTTAGAAAGCACATTAAGAAAAAAAATAATTAAAAAATCAAAATGAAGAGATAATTACTTCACAAAGGATCTAATCTTTAACTTAAACAAGGAGGGGACTTCAATGTCTTCACAAAATTTCAGGTGGTTATGTAACTATTTTTCTTCCAATGGAAAACTGACTCTGAATGACGGATCTACTTTATGTCTATTTAGCATTAGAATTTTATTCAGTGTAAGTAATTATTACACAAAGTTTCTCTTCCAATAGATACCAGTTTGTAACTTTTATATTTTAATATTGATGAAAGCAATGTCTCCAGCAACAAATTGACCTCACCACCTCACCAAATCACAAAAACTGCCTCGTTCTTATAATTGAAGACAAAATTGTACAAACTCTAATACGATAGAGGTGAATACTGCACAAATCCCAATATGACTAAAAGGCAAATATTGGACCAACACAAACTTGACCAAGAGGTGAATATTGGACCAAAACAAACCTGACCAGAGGTGAATATTGGACCAACACAAACCTGACCAAGAGGTGAATATTGGAGAAAAATGGATGTCACATCATGTATCTTAGGTGGCAAAGTCCTGTTCTGATTGCAGTAACATTAGTACAGAAAGGTGTGACTTACCCGAGGATGTCACATGAAGGTTGCGGTGTCCATCGGGAGGGGAATAGGGTTCCGAGTCTGGGGGACTGTCTGGCAACCTGCAACAAAGAAATCGGTCGGTGTTTTGTTATATTACAGTACAGATTTTTTGGTCTCCTTTAATAAACAAACATCAGGTTTTATATTTTCATGTATTCATCATTTCAAATAGTTTGATATAATCAAATCACTCCTCTTCAGAAGTTTGTTTTTACCAGAACTATGTTAGTTAAATAATTGTATAAATAAATCTCTAAATACTCCCAACAGGCATTGAAACAATCTCTGAATGTCTTGTGTGAGTATTTATAACACTCTCTGAATATCAGTCTTCATATATGTATGATCTCTGAATGTCTTGTATGGGTATTTATAATCTCTGACTATCATTCTTTATGTATACATATCATCTCTGAATGTCTTGTATGGGTGTTTATAATCTCTGAATGTCATCCTTTATGTATATCTAATCTCTGAATGTCTCTCGACCTGTAGGTATCTATAATTATATTTGAATGTCTTTTGTGGGTATCTATAATAAACTCTGAATGTTACCCCTGTAGGTATCTATAATTATATTTGAATGTCTTTTTTGGGTATCTATAATAATCTCTGAATGTTACCCCTGTAGGTTTTTATAATTATATTTGAATGTCTTTTTTGGGTATCTATAATAATCTCTGAATGATACCCCTGTAGGTATCTACAGTTATATTTGAATGTCTTTTGTTGGTATCTATAATAATCTCTGAATGTTACCACTGTAGGTATCTATAATTATATTTGAATGTCTTTTGTGGGTATCTATAATAAACTCTGAATGTTACCCCTGTAGGTATCTATAATTATATTTGAATGTCTTTTTATAAACATTCAACTCCCCCACGCACATTAATTAAAATCCTGGCCGCCAACACAAGAGTGATTAATCTACCAGTAAGTTGAAATAACTTGTTTCATAATTGTTGTAAAATAAATGAAATTTTTATTAAAAAATGTCAATGTCTCTATATTAAAGTATAAAGGAGAGTAAAAACTAGAGTGTAAGGATAGGTTATTCAATATCCCTAAATTAAGACACATTTATTTCTAAATTGATTAAACAAATAAAAAGATAACTTTTGTGAGGAGAAATGGAAAATTTAACTTTACAGAAATATTGAGTAGAAAAAAGATGATCCTGAATTCATATTAAACACAGTTTATTAGTTGTAGAAATTGAATAGGAATCCGTTTGTAACCTACTAAGTACACTGAACAAATCCAGCTAACCACATCTACACTCAACAAATCAATCATTGTCTGCTAAATGATGTCCTCTGTGATATCCAACAACCATATTTTGTTTTGGTGACTTTCCAAATCCCCTGACACCATAACCCACAAATCAAACAATTTGCTATTCTGAGTGACCCGAAGTCTGGCTATTTATAAAGTTTCAGCACTGAAAACGTGCTCCGTGGTACTGAATGTAAGTCACTGGGGTACGTAACAAACACCTCAATACATACAGTTGTAACAGTTTCCCCACAGTTACGATATTTACGTTTCTTGAAAGAAAAGATTGAACATATTTACAAGAATTTAATTGGATCAGGAATGAGATCAAATTGTTTTATTTTCATTTTTTTTTTTATTAAAATTATTATTTCAAAAAATCTTCTGAATTCTTCAGTGACTGCAAAACAAACAGCTCATTAACTGTAGACGTTTGTTTCACACAATTATAATATTTCTTCTTTTAATCATGTTTTATATTTACAAGAATTTAAATTAGATCAGGAATAAGAATTCGATCAGATTGTGTTTGAAGTTTTTATTCATAAAATTAATATTTAAAACAATCTTTGAATGTTTTGGCGGCTGTAAAACCATCGACTCATTTACAAAGAGTTGTAGACATTTTCCTCAAAAAAGTTATAATATTTCTTCTTCTAAATTATTTGTCATATTTACAAGAATTTGAAATAAGATCAGGAATAAGAATTAGATCAGATTATTTCTTAAGATTTTATTTATTGAATTCATATTTGAAACAATCCTTTGAACTCATTTAAAAAATAGGACAGACAGACGCAAATCAGCGGGTCCTATACAAGGGCTTTTAGGCTCGAATCGCAAGCGGGATCTATGTATTTGAGTCTGATGAAAAGGACATTTAGGTACTGTACCAGAAAAAACCTATCTATAAGTATCTATAAGTATCTATAAGTGTAAACATTTATTACGATGCAGTACGTTTCTTGTTTTTGACGCATCAATTTGTTATTGCCAGTTGTATTTTTATGTACAAGTAGAAATATATCACACACATAGCGTTTACATTTAGTGCTAGTTATATTATAAACATTGGCTCACAAAATTATTGAAGCTCGGCTAGATAAGTACTAGGGCTAGTACTCGGCTAGATAAGTACTAGGGACAAACGAAAGTCTTTATAACCCTGAAATTGACGATAATGAACGTATCTGTCATCGGGATGTCAGCATAGTTGATCTGGGTATATACCCTGTATGTAGGCATACTGCCTGTGTCCAGTATCATTATTGTTTTTAAATTATCATGGGCAAAAAAAATTAATTTAGAATGACGTACACTAATTTTAAAACATACGTTTCTTGGGAATATACCCAGTAAAATATTTTAAAAACTTTAATTAGGTGATGCAAGTCTGTCCATGTATATTAATTAAGATTCAAATGTTCATCAAGTCCAGCCATCAGAAATAAATGCTACTAGTATTTTATTTTATACTGTAAAATAATGAAAAGGCATTGGTAATTTGAAATAATTTCTGCTTAATCTTCAGCTCAGTTCGGGGGCAATAATATCAAGGAAAATTGAATTAAATTAAAATTGAATTAATATCTTATTATCACATTGATTTAAACTTACATTAAACCAAGAATAGCATATTTTATTATATAATACTGTCATAATCTATTTCAATAGTTATCAAATTTTAACCATAATTAATGTTCTTTAATGACTATATAAAGATTGTTAAACTTTTATCACTTGAAGCATATCCATTTTGTGATATGAAATTATGTTAATTAATCAGAATTTATTTTGAACAAGTTTCATAAACAATAATGTAACTTAAATAGCTAAATGATATAATATTATAAATTAATTCTTAAAAAATTGAAAATACTACTCAAAAGATATTGTCATAAAACATTTACAATACTGATCAACTGAAAAGAAAAATATACTTAAGTAGTTCAATTTGCCGTGATTCTAATTTTAATTAAATTTAAAATAGAAATACTTTCTGATTGTTCATGTTTTTAAAAGACAAAAATAACACTTGTCCTAATCTAGATTGACAGTTTATGCTAGCAATATATAAACAAAAGTGCAAAACATTTCAAAAACGTCTGTTGAAATCAGCATGAAATTAATGGAAAATGGGAAACACTTTTAGAGACATTTACATTAATAATGTAAATTCCCATAAAAATTATATTTTATATTTACTCCAATTCTTCAACAGAAAACCATTAAAATTATTTATTTAAATATGGTAATTTCTAAATATACAATTGATGAAAAACCATTGTTGAAATTATTTTCTCACATTTCGATTTTTGCCCGCAGTTTTACTAGTTAAATGTAACATGTAAAATTAAACTTTTTGAGACAGACTGTTTGTAATTTTCTTTATGATTTTTTAGCCAAATTAAAAGATGTTTATATTTTTATAAAATTCATTGAAATATTAGAATGATCTAACAGAGTGCATTGTTCCTCAAAAGAAATATCGCTATAAATTGCAGCAATTCTTAAAGCGTAACAGTATACTGTCCTCTGTGTATTACCGCATATTCATACCGATGACAAAAAATAACATCCTTGTTTCAAATTTTGTTCCTGTTTACGGATAAATTTGTTTGGATATATAATAACACAGAAGCCAAGAATGTAACAATTTTCCAGATGATACCAAAACATGTAACGGATAAACATCCATATTTTTATCAATATTATTAATATCATGAAATATTATTTCATATTTAATACTGTGGTGTTATTGCAACATATTGATAACCTGATCTGTTTTATAGAATTCTGTTAAGTCAAACAAATCAGACATATCTTGGTGTACTAGTTAGTTAACATCGAATACGATGATTGGAACAAAGTCAAAAATGATCCAGATACAATGATATTCAACTGGAGTTAAAACAGTATTCGACTAATACTTTAATTAAACCAGACTTCATGGTATAACAGCTGAGATATTAACAATGAAAAGATAAATGTTCTCACATCTCACTAACTAAACAATTACACTTTTGATTTAATTCAATGACATGAAGTAGTGCTAGTTGTTAATTTTTTATTTTCATTTATAAACTAATAGACATGATTTTATTACTTAACAGGAAGAAATCATACCATTTCTAATTTAGATAATTTTCAATGCAGAAAGTGGGGTTTCCTTATAATTATTTACATCAATTTATTTCACGAATAATTTTGATAACATAAATAATATTTTTAAAAGCAATATTGTATGCTGTAAGATATATGTAGGCATACCAATGTGATGTATTTTGACTTAATACTGTTAAATTCTATAATACATTAAATTTCAAAATGTTTAAAAAAAAAATAAAAACAACCCTGCATTACATTAACAATTAACCTAACAAACAATAATAAAAAAATATATAGTCATTTTCCAGCCGTTTTATCACTTCAAAAAAAATAATAATTCAAGTACGATTAAAATGTTGAAGAACAAAGTGCATTTAAAAATTGTGCAATACTGTCAACAGTGCTTAAATTGATAATCAACTCAAGGAAAAAATTCATAGGAAATGAATCATAAAATAAATAGAAGAAAAAATTCCACAAGATATAATAATGTATAAGTATAAGGTAAATAATCAATATAGAAATAAAATGTAAAAATACAGACAAATTGATTAATCAGCTGTTCCACATGAGGTGAGAATTAGAATCATAGCTCAATCAAGTCCAACGACCATGGCAGATTTTAAGGTACAGCATTAGGTAAAAGAGAATTGACGTGAGAGTATATAAGCCAATAATCTGTGAAGCGCCACTTACGATCACAACAACGTGAAACTTACAGAAGATACTCGAGTGTGCTGGTACGATATGCCACAGGTATAGCCTACTGCCTTGTAGTGTTCAAAGATGGTGTCTGCTTGTAATGGGGCCGAGCAAATAAACTGGCCTTATACGTCACGCCTCACAAACTCAATACAGTGGCCAGGCAGTTAGATCCGCCCTTACCCAAACCACTCAAATTTCTTTCTTTTTCTGTCGACATATCTACGAGAATTATCAAACGGTAATGGTATTTTATTGAATCTTTCAAAAGGAAACACATCAGATACAGGAATTAGTATCTTAAGGCCAGAAGCTGTAAATTTTTACAAATAAATTTCAATAAAGTATATTTCGATACCACTGTGTACCAGTGTACATCAATATTTCAAAACTGAAATCTAAAAACATCTATCAAAACAAGCAATCTAAATTAATGTTTTTGAAAGCATGATTGAATTAGAAGCATACCTGGCTAATGACCTTTAAGAGTGACCTTATGACCTTTAGCTTAAGGGTAACCTTATGACCTTTAGTCTAAGCATTTAATACTTAATGACACATTTCTTGTTTTAAAAAAACCCTTATCTAAATGACTTTGACCTTTGACCTTCAAACATTTAAGATTTTTGTTATGTCTTGATAAACAAGCGTATTTAGTATCGGGATATCCCATTCTCAATTTTGAATATTTTTGATTTTTTTTTGCAGCTTTGTAAACTTGACCTCTGATATTCTGCCTCTAGACACCTTCTGTATGTCAAACAGTCAAGGTGACAATTGACCTTGACCTTCAGTCCCTACAGCATCTTTTATCTTGTAATTAGTGGAAGCATATGAATTCTATTAATTAATTTGGAAGAAATAGAAATTTCAAAAAACTTTCACCAACTTTTACAATATGACATTGACACTGACCTTTGACCTCGGTTAAACAATATGACCTTGTGACATTGACCTTCGACCTTGGTTTTATCCCACTCATAACTTTGAGAAATATTGAGGTTATAAAATTGTGTTATGAAGTGAACACTGGAAAAGGCAAATATTAATACATGTACCACCATCTGTATGTGTGACTGATAGAGGCATACATATATTTTTTGATAATTTGATATCATTTTCAATCCTTATTTTAAATTCTTTTCAAGACTGTCATTTTTTCTAACATGTTTTTTAATATCAACATTGACACTTAAAAAAAAAGTTGTATTGCACTTCATCAACAATGGAAATTATAAAATATGTTGTGGATGGAAATATTGTGAAAATTGGTTTTATTTGGAATATTGTGTCTTTAAAATATAAAATCTGCTTAAAATTCCATCAATCATTGCTATAACCATATTTCAGTATTTCAGAATTGAATGTCGCAAGTATTGGGTTAAAACTAAAATGAGGCAATACATGTTTCCCTAATACAGGACTTGATGTAGTAGGCATTAATAATTGTTCTACTTATAAGATATGTGTGGATAAAACTGTATGGAAGCAATTGTCCCTGATTACTGGCGGATTATGAATGATAATTAACTAAAACACCATTTTTCTCTCTAAACAATGGTTTTATTTGGTAATTAATGGTTCTATTAGAATAATTAGTCCTTAATTTATTCACCCCCTTAGACACATTTGAACTGCTCCAACTCAAAGGTTGGAATAGTTCATAATGAAATTTCAGGGGTGAATGAGTAAAAATGTCTCCAGAAAGATAAAACTTGAAGAATAATATCTTTTAATTAGCTCTAACTTCAGTTTTCGGTTGTGTCATGGTTACGACAGGTATGTCCATGACAGGTAAGAGTAAATACTCTTTAAGAGAACCTTTAATTACAAGGACAGTGTATACCAAGGCCAGATGACACAACATCAAAGGCTGAGCTCTATGTCATCAATGAGTGTGTTCTTTGTCATCAAAGAGGGAGTATTGTGTCAGCAACAAACGTGTATTAGGTCACAGCCCTTAGATGTCTTTGTCAGGAAAAATTCTAAATTGCTATTTGTTTGATTTATGTTCAAATATTAGACCTTCATCCATAGCACTCATTTCATCAAGCTAGATATTACTGGTTCAATATTTTTTCTCTCTCAACAAAGGTTCAAATTGGTGGTTTTTAAGGCTCATAATTGTGAATTGTGAATTCAAGGAATAAAACTTCAGGACTTAACCCTTTCGCCCCTATGTAACCTTAGTAGACTCTACCATGCATTGATATGGATGAGTCTATTATGGTCTACAGTGGTGAAAGGGTTAAACAGATTATCTTTCCTTTTAATTAAGCTTTTAATGATAATGGTACAGTTAATCTTTTGATCAGTCCTACATTTTTTTTTACCTGTGTAAATTGTCGAAAGTATTGACAGCATTTCAGTTCTCTAAAGCAGCACACAACTTTTCAATTTGCAGTATACTGCATATTACAATCAAAATTATCATTCAATTTGCATTCTATGGACTAATGTATACAAATTCAACTTTAAATTTGCCATCTATAAACATCTAAATTGAAATTTAAAGCTAACTCCTTAGTTTTTTAATGATTCTTAGTCAATCAGGAGTATCCTGAGGATTGGATTTCCAAGCTCACACAGCAACATGTTGTTAACGATCCAATCAGAGAGAAGGTATCTACTTTAAACCACCCCAACAGCCAGTCTTATCATGCGTGCACGGCTCATTTGTCACAGCCAATCAGGGAGGGTATTACATAATCTGTAAAATTTTGTGCCGATAATTATGTGGCTCATGTTTTGTAACCTAAATGTTCAGATTTCACCATAGCTGCTCAGAAATCAGTGTAAATGCTTTCACCACTGTAGACCATAATGGACTCATCCAGATCAATGCATGGTAGAGTTTACTAAAGTTACAAAGGGGTGAAAGGGTTAAAGAAGAGCAATGATATTCTATCGGACAGCTGTCTCTGACAGCCTCTGATAGACTACTGTCATCTTTATCATCTCAAGTTTAAAAGCTGAAAGTCCCAGGTACGGTAATAATGGAACAAGAACCTGAAGCTTTCAAAGTCAATCGTAACCTGACTTGAAGCCGATCAGACCACACATGGTTACTAGTAAATTGTACATGCATTGCCTATGAAAGTGTCAATGTGGCCCGTATTCACGAAATTGTTCACATACTCATGCAAGCACAGATTCTGTGCTCAAACCGACTTTCTTGTAATTTGCTTAAATTGTATTTGCTGGGGTTAAAAGTGTTAACATTTGAAAAAAATGGCTTTATATGTTCCCTAAAATTCCTCCATACCATTGGCAAAATGCAATTTTTTATTACGTTATCACTGAAAAAAGAAAATGAGCATGAGAATGGTTTCTGAAATATGAACCCAGTTGTTGTAGACTTGAAAGCCAATCGGAAATGGTGTTACATGTTGTATAACAGGTTAGATTTTCAGAACCAATCAAGTGAGATGATTGTTGTAAGGCAAACAGCCAATCAAATCACCATATTCAGCTTTATCATTGCCTCTCTAACTTATCATCATAAACAATGTAGATATAAACTTATCATCATAAACAATGTAGATATAAACTTTGTTTTACAACAATGGCAAAACAAGTTTTAATAACTTATATCAATCACTCGTTTGCACAAAGGAGGTCTTAATGTGGGAGGAAACCGGAGTACCCTAGCTGAGGAAACCCACGTGGTCGGGCAGATGACCCCACACCTTTTCACGCCAGATTGGGGGATCTAACCCCAGCCGCCTTGGTGAAAGGCAAGTTTGCTATCCACTGCGCCCCCCGACCGCTCATAACAATGTATAGGGCGACACATTGAATTGGATGCAAGATATATTCGGTACTTTGATGAAGATACATTTCTTGCTTCGTAATTAATTGACAAGCATTTTTAGTACTTACGGATGCATGGCTGGGTTGTCGTAGCCTCCTTGTCCATCCATCGAAGTGATGGGGGGACACGAGTAATGCATGTTATGCATGTGGCCATTCATGACCCCATTGGAGGTGGTACAGGGCGCTGCCAGAGACACAGTCTTACTGGGGTAGCAAAGGTCCGGTGGCTGTTGACACACCTGCGGGCGCCCTGTGTTGCTGTACGCCATTGCAGGAATGACTTCATCTGGCAGGCATCTGGCAAAAAAAAGTAAAATGTTTATGACTTTACTGTCATAAATGTCCCTTCAAAGAAAATGTATGAAAAACAAGGCAAAGTATTGCATAGAAACCCTAAACTTGAATGTTAGGACAAACCATAGTCCTGAATGTTAGGACAAACCATGGTCCCGAATGTTAGGACAACCCATAGTCCCGAATGTTAGGACAAACCTTTATCCCCCCAAGGTAAGGACAAGCCATAGTCCTAAATGTTAGGACAAACCATTGTCCCGAATGTTAGGACAAACCTTTATCCCCCCAAGGTAAGGACAAGCCATAGTCCTAAATGTTAGGACAAACCATTATCCCACCAATGTTAGGACAAGCCAGAGTCCTAAATGTTAGGACAAACCATTGTCCCGAATGTTAGGACAAACCATTATCCCACCAATGTTAGGACAAGCCATAGTCCTAAATGTTAGGACAAACCATAGTCCTGAATGTTAGGTCAAACCATAGTCCTGAATGTTAGGACAAACCATAGTCCTGAATGTTAGGACAAACCATAGTCC